GAATCTGTTTCATCTTTAATTTTAAAAGTAATCAAAATTCTTTTTAATAAATTTGTGGAAAGCCTAAGGAATCTTCTCGAATTTTTCAAATATCTACTAGTTTTTTCTTTGCTAAGAACAAATTGTGTTAGTACATTGCGACTTCAAATGACTTTGAATAGTAGCTGACTCATTCATTGCTACTAGGCTAAAATTTGTTACGCGGGAAGTGCTTTTTAATCATACCATTTCTAAACTAAACCTATTTCATTATCTTAATGTTTAAACAGAGTTTTGAGTTGTTTTACCCCGATTCGAAGGTTTTCGAGTTGGAGTAAAACAACTCAAAAATCCAGAAAATTAAGCAGAGAAATGTAGTCCTTTTTCATAGATTTTCTTTCATTGTGCAAGATACAACTGTTTGCTTTAAAATTAAAGTTAATACTGTTATGCAAGAACCAACCAAAATAGCGCCACTAATGGGAATTAAAGTGTTGTGCACGAGGAGAATGGGTGCAATCTTTGACACACATTTTACTAAACATTCTTCTAAACTTTAAGGAGGTCAGAAGGAAATTGTTTACAAAGCAAGTAAATTTTCGTCTTCATTTTACTAAATTTGCTGCATTAAATCATGCTGCTTGCAAAAATCTGAAAAACAATTCTACGTAGAGTACTTCTTTCATTAACATTTCACTTTCCTCTAAATGCCCTTTTTACTCTAGATCTTCTCGCCATGGTGTTCTCTGCGCCAATCAATCTGCCGCCGACTCATGTCAAAAACGAAGGTGGTGAAGTGGTCGTGACATCCAGTACCCGTATGGAAACGCATGAGACGGTAGTACATCATAGTGAAGCGCATTATACATCGTCTTTCCACCAGGAAAGCCATTTGGAAGGTCATCAGATTACATCAGGAGGGCATCTAGAGGAGACCACCGTGCACGAAGATGTGGGCTATCTTGAGTTATGAATATTAAGAATCATGTATAGATGAATGGATTTGAAATGGAATTTTTCAGAATCATTTTAACGATCATGAAAGCGAACGAAATCGCGCGGCAAGTTTTTATTACCATCTCTAACTTATTGTGACTATTGAAAAATTCCGAAATCTATCTAAATCAACTTCTTCAGGCTTCTTCTGCGATGTCAACGGCAACATCAGTGTCCGTAAGATCCAGCGTCTCTCAACAACAGGTGCATATATCATTTTATCGGGTCTGGCATATGAATTATTCACGTTCAAATTTTCAGTTCCATGAGCCAAGAGATCTAATCTGGGAAACTCGTGCGGTACGGTCATACGCATTGGGTAGAGGTGCAGTAATGAGGTGATTACGGTGTCTTACAGTGACATAATTTAGGCCATACTGTAAGTGGAGAAGATCTGCCTTGAAAATGTGAAAATTTTGCGATATTTTCGGAAATTAAAACATTCTTTGAAGCTGAAAACTTGAAGCATGTGGCTGTATCAGTTTTCTTGCAGTTTTTATTACTCTAACTATGTTTGGGTTCATTTGAAGGCACCACCCATATTTTTGTACATCTCTTGATCTTTGCCAAATGATGACTCAAAGAATCACAAGGAGGCGCCGTTTTTGGGATGATAATTGTACACCAATTCAAAATGACTCATTTAATGATCCAAGAAAAACGATATTCAATTTTTTTTTAGTATTTCAAAGCGTTTGAATGAGTCAGTGAACTTTCTGAAGACTAGAAGGTTTACTATTTAGCATAGTGACAAAAGTATTTTAACACAGTTTGAGCTTGCGCATATTTACCGTCGTTTGCTCTAGTTCTAATCATCTTGGCACAAAACCAGAATAGCAGGATATGAATATAGAGGCAGGATGCCAGACGTAGTCCATTTTTGAAATTTTGAAGGAATTTTTGCAATTGATACAACTCTCAAACCAAACATCGAATCTCAGTGGGCTCGCGTTTAGAGTAACTGCCACGTGGAGAATTTGTTTTTGCATATGGTTCAATTTGATATTCCTTGAAAATTGGAACTGCAGTTTCTTTTATGCATCCCCAAAATAATTTGATCA